ATACACATATCTCAGCTCATGGTAAACTTTACTAATCGAAATAAAAACCTATACATTTTTGCCAATGAGATATAAATTCATTTATTCCATTAGCAAATAGCTATAAGTTGTCCTCGACCTTTTTTATCTACAAGCTTTTGTCTTTATTACGAAATTTTTGAAACCATCATACTCTGTACATTTATTTGAAACATTCCCTGGTTAAATGCTTCATTAATTTTTCAACTCGTTGATTTATAGCATAGTTTGAACTTACTACAAAAATTTGCTTGGAATTGCTTCATTTATATTAATTATTATAATAATTAATCACAAATTAATATTGAAAACAGGCAAACACAATTAAATAGAACGAAATATATGCTTGAAAATGATGTGTAACATAAATACAATTAAACACAGTCTTATTGTAGAATAAATTATTATAATAATTAGCTTCAGCGTCGTACATAATCATTTCGATAGTTCAACAGAATCATTTTCAGATCTGTATCTAGCTAAATTTTTAGATACTTCAGCAAAATCATTCTTTCTGTACACTGAAAAAAAAGATTGGCTGCTGCAGCAAATTAGATAAAATATAGGTGAAATATGGCATAGTATTTTTAATTGCCTAGCAACCAATTTTTGGTTGCGTTAGTCTATTCGCAATATCAGTATTGGATTTTGATAGGCTTACACAACCAAAAATTGGTTGCTGCAACTTATTAAAAATGCTATGCCATATTTTGCCATCTAATTTGCTGCAGCAGCCAATCCTTTTTTTCGGTGTACGTACACGAAATCGAGCAATTTCTTCCTCGACTCGTAAGTCGACATTCATAGTCGATTCTTATATTTAAGAATCGACAATGCACAATATTAAATTATAAACCAATCACAGAGCAATATTAGTATCTTAAGGCATTATTTGAGACAATCTTAAAATAAGAACCGACTATGAGAGAATACCGGCCTTGCCGGATACGAGTGATTCAATCTCGCTACTCGACTTTACAAACATTAGCGAAACTGAGAGCAAATAATCAGGCGGCGCATTATCTTCATTTTATGTCGTTGCACTCTCGATTGCGACAGAACGTGCTCTCTCTCTAAGAGAATTGCGCGAGTAGCCGCTTGGAAAAAGGATTGACTAAATATGTTCAACGGACGAACTAACGCTGCAGAATAAATCACTATCTTGCATCTGAAATCATAATTAAACTTCTATCACGTGCTTCCGTTTCGATATATTTTCTTCGTAGGCACTAAAATTACTGAAATTAGTTTTTAACATCTGCTATCAAAGTCGGATCTTACACTACTTTGCGATTATCTGCACGCTTATAATTATATAATCGAGAAGATATATTATTTCTTAAATACCTCGTGCATTTAATTATCGCATAAATATTTGTGACGTGTTGTTTCTGCGCGGGCATTATTTAAAGTGTGTCATGTTTTTTTCGTGCCTGTTAGGAAGTTGTTACACGAGCGGATCTCTTCGTTCTCTGCTTGAGAGAAAATGTAATAACGAGCGCTAAGCAGAAAAACCAGGATACACGAGGTATTAATTTATGCAAATTACGGTCAAGGCTTACTACTGTACAATACGGAAATAGAAAAATGTTAACATATGGAAAAATTGGAATGAAAAATATCTTAGGAGTGACGTAACGAAACCCGATCAATAGAAAATTATACTCGTTAAACCTTATGTAATTATACCTCATGAATAGTATGTATGAAACTAATCACTAAATTTATTATGATAATTAAATTGTACATGTCTCTCCCCTCGGATGATATCTGCGCGTGTTGGATTGCTTACAATCCTTGCGCGATACGAAAGATAATCTCACAATCATTAAACGGAATATCAGAAATTAGCGATAAACGCGTTCGATGGACATATCCTTCATGTATACTCCTGGTAATTATATCAAAACACTTCTCGATGGTACACAATTACGTAAACGAGTATGGTACGTCATTGAAGATATTATCGAATAGAACTTCCGGCTCTGGATAAGTGATATGCAGTGACATGTAGAATCATTGAAAATCTCGAAGTAAATTGTAACTGCCGTACGTAAAGCGGCGTTTACAATGAAATTTAAGGCATAAAGCTTAAGCCTTAAACCGTAAGAAATTGACCAATCACAATCGATTGTTTTTCTCATTCTTAAAATCATCATGCACAAAACATTGAAATGACAAATCAGTAAAATTAAATGCAATTATCAGCAAATGTAGCGCGATGTAAGTATTGATCGGACTGTCGAAATCTTATTTGAAATAGATGTACGATAACATCTTTCTGATATAAAACTTGTTCGCAAAATATATATTTTTCCAGAAAATGCTATTTACCGTTAAGAATGTTTTCTTCAGTATATGCATATCTGTGCATATTGCATTTCTTCTTTCAGTCAAATCTCATTTTGCGAATCAAGTACCCTTGAACTCTAGGAATCTTGTGCAACTGTCAAATATTAGGGTTTAAAAATCTTTTGCTTTATTCGATTAATCTATCACATATTTGAAATGTAAAATTAAATTGTATCTTTCCTTTATTCGCGAATTTATCGCGTAATGTAAATTATCTTCATTCGCGTATATGTACACGTATATATGCTAGATAACCCGATAGTAGTCGAAAAGGATGAAAAGGAGCAATGTTCTGAGAGAAGCGAGGAAAATTATAATCAGTGACGCGGAGTTATCAATACTTCCGGGAAACTGCGTGTCCGGTGGACGATTAAGTGTCATGAACAAATTTTATTGCTATCCAGGATCGTGTCACGGTCGTTATAATTATTATTAATAAGCTTCATTTATCCCAGCATTTATACTTGCTATCGACTTATAATCAATTCTATTTATAATGTAATTTTATTACATCGTTGCATCATTCTTGAAGTAATCTTTTTCTGATAATTACACAGGCACATATAATAAAATGTAACATTTTGGAGATTATATCATGTATTCTTATGTATTTTGATGCTCTGAAACTCCAAATTGAATTATTCATTACAATTTTTTATCGATGGAAAATAACTCCGTTTTCTAATATTTTTAGAGCTACTTATGGCCTGGTTTTTTATATACAAGCTGAAGCAAAAGAGAGAAACTAAAATTTAATGATAATATGTAAGCATATATATTTAATATGCAAGCTGGTAGGTTAAAAATATATTAGAAAATAGAATTATTTTTCGTTAATAAAAAAAATTGTGATGAAGCAATTTGGACATCGATTCAGTTTTAAAGCGTCAAAATACATAAGAATACCATGGAGATCTAATCTCCGGATCAACAAATTTTTTGTGTATATCTGTGTTATCGAAAAATTATCTGAAAGAAAGAGAGTGAAGGGGGGGGAGGGAAGATCATGCCATGCATATACATATATTTCCGCAACTGTTAATCGCATTTTATATTTATTATTTACTATATAAATATATATAATAATTAAATAAATAAATTATTATTACTAATTATATTATAATAATGACAAATAAAAAATGATATAAAGTTATTGCGTTTAGTTTAATTATTTAATGAAATTGAGAAATTTTTTTCATATATGTATTTCTTCTTGCTGGACTTTCTATTTTTAACACTCTTACTGTTTTTAACTGAAGGAGTAATACACGACGCGACATCTGCCATCCGAGAGAAGAATCAGGATAGAATTAAAAAAAAAGTTTTACAGTAGATATATAGTATTGTAGAATTCTACAATAAATCTGTGGATAAGTTTAATGTTACTGGTGATAAAGATTATCTATGATAAATTAAGAATCGAATCGCGCATGAATTTATGCGACTAATTGTGTTAATAATGCACTTTAAAAAATCTGTCTATCTTTTATTTAACAAGCTTGCAAACCTATAATATTTATTAGTTAAATTTTTGTAAATAAAAAATTAATTGAAAAATAATAGAAAATTAACTAAAATTAATAGAAAATTGAAACATATGTTAACGTTATTAAAATTAAAATTTTATTATAGCAATTTTGGATATGTTTTGGAACTGTATAGGAATTAAAAAAGATATTAAAAAATTGTCTTATTTTGTTTTTGTCTGAATATCTATAAACAATGTCCAGAACATTCCTCATTTGATACTTTTTTATATTACAATTTTATGTACATAGAATGTACATAACATGTATATTTTGTGCATTATTACATAAAATTATTATACGTAAAGTAATCAGAATAATTATGTTTTTAAGATATTTAAATTATCATGTTATATATTTTTTCTTAAAAAAAATTTATAAAATATATAGTTTTAAAACTGTTTTTTCATTTTTCCAATTTTTCCACGGATTTTCTCGGTTCTTTTCTCAAGAATGGAAAAATTCATTGGAAAAATTTATGTGTTCGTAAGATCTGTCATATTTGCTTCTTTCCGAGAAGAAAATAATTTTAGTCTTCTTTCTACTAGAGAGCTTACGTGACCACTGTCTTCTCTGATTGGGCATGGGCATCAAAGCTCCATAGCCATGGAAGAGATTGGAAAAAATTGGTCACGTGACTCCCGTCTTGATTGGACGTAGGCATTCACATGATGAAATTTACCATTCTCTCCCTGTAAGACTCTCTACAAATATAGAATTCAATCGAATGAAAGAATAATAATAACAATTTATATTGAGAATTCGCGGAGAAAAGGGCGAAGCAACATCCAGTGAGAAGTAAATCTCGTTCATGTAATATTTCTGTACTTAAATGATGTAATGAAATATATTTTTATTTACACATTGAGTACATTAAGAAAATAGAAACATTTTTTATATATAAAGGAAAGGCTCCGACAAAGTAATGTTTTAGAAAGACCTGAATATTATTCAACAATCTATCTTAGCAATTATCATATGAAATAATTATATGTCGTTATCGTAAAAACATTCCGTTCTAAAAATTTTTCGATAGCAATACTGTCATTATACAGAAGATAAATTCTGAACGACGAATGGAACGTTAGTCGAGCGCCACCCACCTCCTTGACAACGTGCACCGCGCGTGGATCTCCTACATGCAAGGGCGACATTTGACAAGTCGTATTGTCAGATATTCCAAGTGAATTGCAGTCCGTGTTACGTTTATTAAAACAATTCGGGCAATTGTTTTATTCGCTAAAACAAAAATAAAGCATATCGAATATTTAAATCTCTAAGTGTCACTTTATCTATTTCTCAAATTACAACGTAAAGAAATATACTTAAAGAATGTCTTGTCCAATGAGCAGTATTCCGTAAGTAATACACTTTTGATTGCAATATTCTTAGATACTTAAAACAAATATCTCTAGTATTATTTATCGTATAAAAGTCGCAAACTATCCCGAATATTTTAATCTAAAAAAAAAGTTTACTCTGAGATTTTCTGTAATTTTTTAACTTTATTCTGTATTCTATTATAAAGGAAACAGAAACAGTTCAACGCGTTATTAAAGCATACTGTTTGAAATAAGCTCTATTTCAAAACAAGCAACGAATATTCTAGCATTCTAATGCAGTGATTTTACATAATTCCGAAGATTTTTGTGTTTACAAATAATAAAACTATTATAATCAGAAAGTATTTTATATATTTATCAAATAGAGAATAAGCGATTATATCGTCATCATTCATGTTGCAATCGATCACGCGTTTATCTTTCTTTTTTTAAAATAAGATTATACGAAAAACTAATGACGAAATATTTATTAAAGAGAAAATAATCACGATCAGACGCAGCGGGAATTAACGCAAGGACCGGCGTTGCACTACAGCGAGTATTTGCGTTTAGATAAAATCTTGTCCGCGCAAAGGCTTCTCAGCGCCGAATACGGCAATGAAGTTCACGACGAGCATCTCTTTATTGTCATCCATCAAGGTATTTTACTAACAATTACGTTTTCTTCGATTACATACATAATTTGATAATGAAGTTTTCTTTTTCCTTCTATACAAGAATAAAAGCTCCTAAAAAATATTCCTTAGTGACAAAATATCCTCATTTAAGCGACAAATATCCTTACTTATCCCTTCATTATGTTCTATATGAATTTTGTTTTAATAGCGCAATATCTTAGATTATTTATAATAAAGTGTTTCTTTATTATTAAATTTTAAATAATGAAATAGTAATAAAATATATGACACATAATTTTTTAATTCTACAATTTTTTAATAATTAATTTGTTATTCACGAATAATGTCGAACGTAATTAATAATATGCAGTTACTCGCGAAACTAACAAATATATTACACAATAATTAGCTAACTATTTAAAGAAAATAAGTAACGAAGGTTATGTTGATATTAACATATTGATATTGGCGACCTATCACTATCAACATTCATCATTTATCTATGACGACAACATACATTTAATCTTAGTATATTGTCCTTCATGGACTTTTTTAATGAAAATTTATAACAATGGTACTATTGTTATAAATTTAAGCAATTTCTCGGTTATTATATAGATTTATAATATTTATATAATAATTATTTTATTGATTTATATGAATTGTTTTTTCCAATTGTGTATCTATATTATTCAATTATATATTAATGTTATATTAATGTTATAATCGCAGCATATATTTATAATTATATTTTAATAATTGTTTTATTAATTTATATCGATTCTTTATTGCAACCGTTTACATTACTCCAATTTATTGTTGCATTTCTATTCGTTACATCGTACGACCTTTTACTATCAATATGACATTTATCATTTATCTGTGTTGATAACAAATATCTGTAGTCTTGCTATATAAATGTCTTTTTTCGCGCATTTTGAAAGAAAATTCATAATAATACGATTTTCTCAATCGTTGTGATATTTATAACATTTATATTTTAATGTTTTATTAATTTATATGAATTATTTATTGCAATATTTATATTGTATTGCTGCATTTCAATTCGTTGTAGCGTACGAGCTTTGGTTCAAGCAAATTATTTTCGAGCTCGATTCCGTTAGGGCACTTTTCAGCTCCGAATCCAACAATTGCAAAATGTCCAACGGGTCTTCTAACGATTACTCAACCGCCAACCAGAGCAATGGAGTCTTGAACGAATCAAAAACCCTGGAGATTCTAAAACGATTGAATCGCATTGTCCTTATCCTGAAGGTACGTTCTAAAATCGATTCTCTCGAAAAGGGTTCTTATACGAAATGTAGTTTCGTGTAACTTCGTCTAACAATAGAATATGTGTAATTATATATAGCGACATGCTAAATAAGTGTTTCGCAGAAATCCGCTTATAATAATAATGGCAATGCAAGGTGAACGGCCCTTAATTACAAGCCGATTAGTTTGCCACAGGCTGCATGTCCCTTTAATCAAATTTTTCTGTCTCGTCAGACAAAGCTGTTTACCGTGACACTTTACATCCTCTTACATATTTCAAAAACATCGGATATTTCATAGATCTGTTTTTTTCCACATTTTAAGACTGAACTCTTTCCATGGTTTATCTCTTTTCTTTTTTTTTTCACATTAGAGAGAAAAAGACAAAAGTTGAACCGTGCAAAAAGTCCAGGGTATCGATCAAGTAACTTTTTCTCTAGAGCGAAAACGTGAAAAGTGAAAACTTTTATGTATGATGCATGTACATATACACACATACATACAAAAAATTTTCACTTTTCACGTTTTCGCCGTAGGGAAAAAGATACATAATCGATACCCAGTCCTAGGATACAGAAAAAGTACAGGTTTAATAACATACATATAACATACTTTGTTAGGAATAATATATTTCGACAGCTTCTTTGCCGCTCGCTTCTTCACGATAAACTAGATCGATAATATTTCGTAATAGCTGACATATCAAGTACGCGACGCGGCGTTGTGATTTTTCTTACCCGATTTAGGCACGATATGAGATAAATAAGACTGTGGGAACCGCACAAGGCACCCTGCGGGGGGCACATTGTAAGATAATATTTCTAGACGATATACGACACCAGGCGCTCGTGCATGCATTAAAGGGAGAACGGAGAAGACGGTACGTTAGGTAACGTACCCGTTACTCTATTTCAATACCGCAGAAGGTGCGGTCGTACCTTACTTTATTTTGATTCGATAAAACGTCTCTCCGCGATACTGCATTCTCGATACGCACGAGCGCGTAATATTGAGTGCTTCAAAATACAATTACGATCGAAGCGACTAACTGTCGCGAATTTGTCTTCGATACACAATACCGTTCAGAAGATATACTACAAATGTAATATCTGATCTATGCGATGTACGTGAATGCATTAAAATTCACGGATTGTGAGATAACGTTAAAATTTCTGCGTGTAAAAAAAACTATTCTCGTGTTCTTTAAAGAATACAGTTGTACTACATTTATTTCCAGATACACCTAGCAATGCATTATAATATTGTATTAACGTATTATGTCGCTCACGCACCCTTCGTTTGCACTGGCACCCATAGAAGTGCGAATGTAGTCGCGTTGACAAATCGATGAGAACGTTTCAAGATGTTCTTTCGCAGCTACAAAAGACCTCGATCTTATTTAATCATGTCTTTTAATAGCGAAATTTATCTTGCTTTTATTAAAATAGAGATTAAAACACATAAGTAATATAATAAAGATAAGGATTAATATAATATTAAAATAAAGAAATAGAGTAAGAAGAGCAATAAAAAAATGTCAAATAAAAATAAACATAAATTTTATTTTAAAATGTAATGGTAATAGTTTTCACTTATCAAATTTTCTTCAGCCAAAATGAATAAATTATAAAATATAAAGTAAAGCCATAAATGTATTAAAAAATTTAACAAAAATTAAAAAATACAAAAAGAATAATTAATTAATATAATTACAGTCGAAATAAAATTATAAAAAATAGAATTTTTTAAATTCTTAGTATTATGTACATTTAACAATGTAATTTAGCTGTGTCGTTTCTTTTTTTTTAACAAACTGGTAAGATACTAATAGCGTTTTTCATTGGCGAGAACTAGTGCGCACTCAGTGCACTTTAAAGCCGTTGTGCACAAATCGACCAAATTGTACATTTAATAAAAATATAAACACGAATTAAACCGCGAAATATTCAATACATTTTATTGTGATATTTGATAAATACATTGGGCATTTTCATCAATTGAGATAAGATATCTCACTTTTACATTTATATTAGAATAATGTACAACAGTTTCACGTGCACTGAGTGCGCACTAGCTCTGCTAATAAAAAACGGGATAAGAATTAACACAAACAAATCTTGATTTGCAGTTATTGGTAGAGCAAGTGACCATTTTGGAAACTATGACACCGTTGGATTTCATGGCATTTAGGGACTTATTATGCCCGGCATCGGGTTTCCAATCGTTGCAATTCCGTCTGTTGGAGAATAAATTGGGTGTAAAACAGGACCTCAGGGTCAAATATAATTACATAAAGATTTTCGGGAGGGATCCCGAAGCTATCGAGGCGATCAAGCGATCTGAGGAGGAGCACAGTCTCAGTACTCTGGTTCAGAGTTGGTTGAGCAGAACGCCAGGGCTCGAGACACATGATTTCGATTTCTGGGGAAAATACAAACGAGCGGTGGAGAAGATGTTGACCGAGCAAGAACAAGCCATACATGTAACTACGCTCGACCTCACTAATTTTGTAACTCATAACGTTACACTAAATTATTTGATATTCGTACTTCTTTAACAATTTCGGCAACAAACTCTCTTTAGAAAAATCTAAAATAATTAACGAAACAATAAAAGAATCAAAACTTTACTTTCTAATATATAATATATTAATAAATATTTGCTAAGAAATTTAATTTAAAGCTCAATTATTGTAGAATTTAAAACTTAATTAATATTGAAGAGATTATCATAAAGCTGCAAAATTGAAAACTGCAAGACAGAACAGATATAAAAAGACTTGTCTAAATATACACAATATTTTATTTCTTTATTTTCGAATTTCAGAATAATTGGCTATTCATAATTTATTAACTTTTCAGAAACTGTCAAAGGAATGCATTAAAGACTATCATTTAGCTAATGTGCGCTCGCGGCAAGCAGTTTTCGATAGCATCTTCAACGAATCACTTCATAACGCTCTTGTGTCGCGCGGGGAACGCAGATTTTCGCACAGTGCTCTTCAGGGAGCAATAATGATCACCCTATATCGAGATGAACCACGATTTAGTCAGCCACATCAGATCCTCACGGCGCTAATGGACATTGACTCTCTAATTACGAAATGGAGGTGTAAGAGAAAACACTTATTAGCATCTTGTTATTTATATTGACTTTCTAAAAAATATGGGTGTGGATTTAGTGCCATAGATTTAACACTATAAGTTTTTAATCCATATCATGGTAGTATTATTATATGTACCACGGGTTTTTAAATCACATCACGTTGGTGTTAATATCAACACGATGAATTATATATACCGCGTGATATGTTGAATCCACATCCATATTTTTTAGTATGCATATTTTATTAAAATCTATTTTATCGATATTTTATTTAATTAATTTATATATAATTTATATATAATTATTTTAATAAATAACAACAGTCATAAAAATAACCGATATTTTAAATTTTTTTACAACATTCACAACTACCAGTATTTTTTTGAATTTTCTTGCAGCATTCAAAAGACTTACAAAAGCACATAATCATTATTATCGGTCATATTATATGTGTATACATATACATATATAAAGTTACCATTACGAAATTTTAATATAAAAATTGTAAATTGTCAATATTATTATTACACGTGATGAAAATTCACTTGTATCATACGAGTTATATTTATACTAGAAATTTAAAATGCCTATTACGGTCGAAGCTGGATCTTCTTGAACCCAGATCTGTTGTATTCCATACGAGCGTCTTAAGCCATTAGACCACCGAGGCCAAAAGACTACAATATGGTATATATGCAAGTACATATATAGTATGTATTAGTAATTCAAGATTGAATTATTTAAGCAACGAAGATACAGCTTCGAGACCGTAATAGGCATTTTTAATTTCTAGTATTGATTGTGTTTCTCACATATACGGTCTAAAATAAAGATATTGATTAAGTTATATTTATATTCTATCATAATCTTATCTCGTACATATTATATTTCATCATTATCATACATTAAAATTTATTAGAATAACATTTTATTTTACACTTTTAGATAATCATGTTATCATGGTACAAAGAATGATCGGTTCTCAACATCTAGGCACTGGTGGTTCTTCCGGCTATCAGTATTTGAAGTCCACGTTAAGGTACTTATCTGCTTCAATTAATATAAATATATGATTGAGATAATTAATAATGAAAATTGATATCAATTAATTTATTTACTGAAAAGATACATTAATGGCAACATGAAAATATTATCACGAATTTTTATCATCAGCACAAATATTATTATTGTAATGTCAAAAGTAATTAAGTCATTACAACAGTATAACTTTGTTTATCGATAATTTAACATAAATTTTTATTTACACTCAGATAACTGATTTTCTTAGATAACTTATTAATTATTACTGATTACGTCACTTAAGAAACGCATATATTGCATTTCGTGAGACTTTAGTCAACTTGATACAATTTACTGATTTGCAAATACAAATGTTTTAAATAATAAATTTTGTTTGTTTTATACGTCTTGACGAATAGCGACAGATACAAAGTCTTTTTGGATTTGTTCAACTTATCGACTTTTTTGGTACCACGTCACATGATCCCGCCGTTGACGAAGCAAATGAAAATGAAGTTATCAATTGCATCATACAATTGGATCACGGACGAAGATCAAGATGAATCGGCGGATTCTTTAAGAAGCTCATATATTAGTCTACCTGTGACACAGCAAACTTCATGAAACTTTAATAAGTTTTATTTCTCTAACGTAATGTATAGTCAGTGTATATTATATGCGCCACGTTGATCCAATAGGTAATACAGTTAAACAATTGCTTGAAAACAAATTATACTTTCTCTTTAGCATTTAAATTCTATATTTCTTTTTAAAAAAGATTTAGTATACATGATTCTCAAAATTAATTTAATGTTAAAATTAATCCGAAACACATATTTTTTATGACGCTAAAGGAACATGGCTCCATGAGATCTATTAAAGTTTTCTGTTATTTGTTTTACAAATTTTAAAATGTTTAACTATATAAAAAATTGCAACAATTGAACTTAACAAATATAAATATAACTATGTAGTACAATAACCATACTGCATTTGATCATACCTATATGAACAGAATAAGATAGCAAAAAATAAGATTGTGAAATATAAAATTATTCTAGATCATTACACTATTTAAAAATTAGGAAAATGTCTCAAAATCATCATGTATTCTACCTTTACGGGTTAAAAACTAAAATTTCAAATTTTAGATAATTTATAAAAAAATTATAATTAAGACTAGGCATAAATTATAAATTAGATTAGGCAAAATGATCCTAGGAAAAGTCAATGTCTCGAACGTTCAGAATCGGTTATTATAAGAAGAAAAAGTGAGAGATACAAAATCTTTATGAATTTTAATTGTCGATCTTCTTGATATTAATTGTAAGTCACATAGTTCCGCATGTTGATAAAGCAAATGAAAACGAAGTTATTAATTGCACTGTACGATTGGAGAACATAAATGAAAATCAAGAGAAATCGGCGGACTCTTTAGGAAGATATGGCTGTGTATAGTTTCTAATAATTGTATATATCACTGCCTCACTTTCCGAAAGATTAACTTTTCGTCTTGGATCGCCTTTTATATTAAAGCAGTCATATTGATAGACTTCTGACGTAACAAACAATGTGAGGAACATAATTAACACTAATGTTCTTAATAAAGTATTTTATTAAGTCATATTTTTTCACAGCATTACTCAATTTATTTTGTCAGAAATTGAAAACGTTGCAATTTAACATTCATTGATTGATTAAACAACTTGGAGTGAGGAGACCTGATTGGTTATACCTGCGAACATACATCAAGGTATTTGTTTATCCGCTCGAAGAAATAGGCACTCAATTCAATCAGCGTAAATGTCACATGCCCGCTCGTTTATTGGTCTTACCGCATAAATTCTTGCCAACCGCAATATAAATGTAACCTTTATTGCCAAAGGACGGTCCCCACGAATTTTTAATGATATAATGCGGTATACGAGCTTCCGTGTCATATCCCACTATCTGCACCGCATGATTTAGGCTGTTGAACGAACCATCACAGTTATACTGTATTATGCCACCTAAATAATTCTGCCAAGATATGGCGTTCACGGCAGCCGCCACGGGTCCATGAGTAACGAGCAACGTCAAAAGTTCAGTCTCCGCGTCTACAAAGCTGAAACAAACTCGATTAGTATTCGCGAGTGCCGAGGTATTAGACAGCGTGGCGTCCAGCCGAAAGCCTTCAGGCTCTCCCTCTTTGTTAATGCTGTAGTTTGGAAATTGATGTAAATCTCACAGCAAAACAAAGAATTATGTTTATTTCGCGATATTCATTTCGCGTGTGAGAAAAAATAAATAATAAAACAATTAATTTTAATTAGTGTAATTGTTTCAATATTACATCCTTCACTCCATTTTAGCCGATTTTTTTTTTAATTTTGCATTGCAAAAGAGGAATTGTACATATATATACATTTTTTATTGTTTAAAAAATAAAATATTATAAATAATAAGACAATAAAAAATAATGCATTATAAATAATAATGCACAAGTAAAAATGAAACTACCTGTCGCATGTGAAGTCCGTTACTTTAACTCCCGACGTCTTCTCGGAAATTCTGAAAGATCAAGTGTCATCATACTTTTGCGGTTTCACTAAGAAAAACATCCATGCAACCTACTTATGCAATCTACACGTGTCGGTTTGCAATGTGAGAGGATAATCGATCTCAGATATAATTCTTGTTTTTGAGGCCAACAGCCACGAGAGTAGACTGCATATGTCACCGCCCTGGCATCCGAAATTGCCTGGCATGCAGTCGATCATCTGTATAACGTCGGTGAATAAATAACTATCAGCTGACAAATTAATAAATAGAAACGTCTAAAAAAGTTTTGAGATTTTCAAGAGGTTGTTCATTTTTAATCATTTTCTTCTCGTAGAGTTAAGCATCGGCTCCTCTAGATGATCAATATTATTTAACAATATTTAATATTGCACAGTATTATTGATCATCTAGAAACAATATTGACAGTTTATACAATATATTGTATCAATCAAGTTTTTTAAGTATATTGGTCCATCTGTGATTATTATTGCTCAATAAAGTACCAATTTACGCTCATTTTTAGCGTTATAAATAAGTTACATTAATTTACATCAAAATGACGTTGAATAATAAAACTTTTGAATTGTCACTTCTGATTACATTTATTTTCTGAAAAAAACTAATCAAATACCCTTTTTTTTCGCTCGTTATCATACGTAGAACGATAGCTGTTCCATCGTGAAAATGCTGTCCAGTTTAGAAATTTGTCTTCAGTAATTCTAATTGTTAACTTGCTCGGTATGATCAGATGTTGACTGATTCTTATTACAAATACTTTGTCGAATGCAATCACAAATGTCAATACGCATGTCATTAATGATTAAGTAAGGTCAAAATTAAACATTAAATTAATAACAAGAATTAACTAAATTATTGGATGATTTGATTGAAAATTGCACTGAATTTACATTGAATTGTCTAAAGGAGGCATCAATAATGTTATAAAATATATGACTGAACAATAATATTATTAATCGTCTAGGGACCGCTTTAAATCTCAAAACTTTTCTAATTACCTACGTATAAAACCAATCTTACATTTGTCCGTTGTCGTACGATAAATTTTTTAAGTCAGTTGATTGGTTATAGGATAGAAAAATCCTAATCCTTCTTCTACAATCAATTAACACGCTTAAAAAATATATCATACGACAAATATAATATCAGCCTAAGCATTTAAGGACTGCGTTGAAAAATCGAGGAAGCTGCTAAAATAAGAGCCTATAGCCACTTTTTAGTGCCCATTAATGTGTACAACATATTTATTAATGACAATTCGACACGCGTGAAAGCGCTTTTATAAAATTTATATTTGACGCGAACTTCCTCGAACAGTTCCTTCGCTTAGTAAATAGAAAAACGTGTCGAGAATATAAGGACTTACTTCCTGTACACTAAAGGAATGCAAAGTTCCGTTTTTGATGGCATACATCGATTCGGCCACCCCGACAGTGCTGAACGCCCAGCAGGCGCCGCAATTCTCTTGGCTCATAACTGGTCCTACGACCCCTTTATCTCGCCAATCAAATTTAGAGGGTATGCCCGTTATTGGTATCATTCTTTTCATACGATTAACCGAGCCCGCAGAGTGCTGATGATAATATGACGCTGTTGTATGTTTTTGCCCTAACAAAATTGCCGTACTCAACAAATAAATTACAACGTTAAATTATGCTCATTGCAATTGTACTTTTCTCAGAGAAATATTCTTGTAATTTGTAAATAATGTAGTATTCTTAAGTATTTAATAAACTTTAATGAAGGTTGTTCTTGTATACTTCCAATTTAACCCTCAGTACTCACATCTCAAAAAAGTCCCTAATTACTCACATCCGGGTATTTGTAATCTAGCGTTTTCTTTTGCTTATATCTCAGATTATAGTGCATCGATTTTAACTAATTTATTTTTAATCTATCGTTTGACTCTGAAAAAAAAAAGAATTTTTGAGTTAGAAAGTCTAAAATGTCATAGCACAAAAGATATTTTGCAATAAGTGAAAAGGGATCGGATAAAAACGTCTGAACTATGAAAATCGAGGGGGGGGGAGGGGGTTACGCTAACCCTTTGTGTGTACTGAGGGTTAAATATTTAATTGTTATTTTCCTTAAATTTTTCTTAAATTAAACTTACCCCGTAAAGATAAGTCTGGAATTAGTGTTTGTTGCACGAATTCATCATCGGATAGATCGGAGAATTCTGTCAGCCCATAGTATGCGCTTTCTTGCGACGATCGTAAACTATTCAGCTTTTCGATTTCTCGCAATGATTTCTGTAATTGTGTGTGTGATTTCATATCTTAATTAATATATTAATTAATACAATAATTTATAATATTTAAATAAATTTATAATATTTACAATAATTTATAATATTTAAATAAATAACAATGAAATGTACTTGAACAAAATTCAGATTTAGAATTTTTTTCAAACAGTTTTAGATTTATAATTTTTTTCAAAATTTAAAGACGAATGATGATTAAACGTTGGAAAAGATATTGGTAATAAATTATCTTCTTTAACATATTTATCAAAGAAAGTTTTTCCAAAATAATCATTATTCTTCTTCTATCAGTAGAGCTAAAGTGTCACATCATATCACAGCGAAAATACGAGTGACATAATAGACGCGCACGTGTGTGTGCATGTTGTATTTACATATTGGAATGCGGTTAATAACCGATTGTCATTTAATTAAAAAATCTCTTAATGTGAAACTTATATGATTTAAATTATAACATGACAATGTATACGTGGAATAAACGGTGAGTTAAATTCAAAACGGACAAGGTTGCTGTTGCGCAATCTTTTAAGCCCAAGCTATTCCTACAATCACGGTTTACAGACAAATCTTTACCTGAAAACGCTCAAATCGCTCTTCATATTTCGCAGGATCATTCCTGTAGGATTTATTATATCGGGCTATGTAGTTCGCGAACAGTTCCGCGTCCTTCTCTGTTTTATCGAAATCTACTTTGATTGGCACGATAAAGAAGCAAAGGCTCACGATCAGCACTATCACCACTACTGTTCGCCATTCCATGTTTCATGCACGACGACGCAGGCGGCAGAACGCACGTTCGTGATGTGCGTACGTGTTGTCTACAGACGACGCAGACGCGATAAGTAGAGAGTGGTCAAATAACAAGTGTTATGGCTAGTATTTAAAGACTTGTCGATTAAACATCTGGATACCGTATGCTATCTTTG